AACAAACACTGCCAGGTTGACCTGGGTAACCCCCAGCATCCTTGAGGGTACAGCACTGCATTTAGGACCCTCATATTGAGCCTCGTAGCTGAGAATCAGCAAGCGGGATCCCTGGGCTCCTGAGTACCTCTTGGAAAACCAAAACCAATGACAAATTAAAATAGATCACAGAAATTGTTACAGACATGAAAAACATTTGCAGAGCTATTCAAAGAGCATTGTCTAGATACCTTATACACATCATAGTCACCAATGCATGCCCCAGGGCATCCACTAATGAATTGCCCTTTCCCTAAGAACAAAATGCCAATTTCTGCTCATCTCAACCCTGCCACTGGCCGGCTAACTTCAGAAGTCCTAGATTATATGTCTGAATCTTCATAGTGAATGACCTTGAACATATTCCTACAAGTTCCCTTATTTAGTGAAATGGTGATACTATTTTTTTTTTCCTTTTTGGGTCACACCTGGCAATGCTCAGGGGTTACTCCTGGCTCATGCACTCAGGAATTACTCCTGGCGGTGCTCGGGGGGCCATATGGGATGCTGGGAATCGAACCAGGTTCGGCCATGTTGGCTGCGTGTAAGGCAAACGCCCTACCCGCTGTGTTATCACTCCAGCCCCGATACTAATTTTTTTAAAAGAATTCTGTCATAGGGGATAAAAGGAGGGGCTGAGGTGATAATACAGCAGGGGCTTTGATCATTTGCATCCCATATAGCCCTGACCACTGCCAGGAGCAATTCTTGAATGCAGAGGCAGGAGTAATCCCTGATCATTGCTGGATGTGCCCCACAAACAAACAAAAATCCAACAGAAATGGAAAAGAAGGGGACATTTGGTTATTTGGTATATTACCTACTTTCCTACTACTTTCTGCAGATAAATGATAATGTGCATAGAAGTGCTTTGAAAAAGGCCATTTCTAGGCAAAAATGACTGGTATTATATTTCATCATTACACAACCAATCACTGTCACTGTCACTGTCCTCCCATTGTTCATTAATTTGCACTCCAGTGGGCCCAGTAGCGTCTCCATTGTGAGACTTGTTACTGTCTTTGGCATATCGAATACATCATGGGTAGCTTGCCAGGCTTAGCCGAGCAGGCGAGATACTTTCGGTAGCTTGAGGGGATCTCTGAGAGGGGCGGAGGAATCGAACCTGGCTCTGCTGGGCTGGCTTTGCCCAAGGCAAATGCCCTACCGCTGTGCTATGGCTCCACAACCACAGTCACAGTCACAGTCCTCCCGTTGTTCATCGATTTGCCCGAGCGGGCCCAGTAACATCTCCATCGTGAGACATTTTGTTACTGTGTTTGGCATATTGAATACGTCACAGGGAGCTTGCCAGGCTTTGCCGTGCGGGCGAGATACTCTCGGTAGCTTGCCGGGCTCTCGAGAGGGGCAGAGGAATCGAACCCAGCTCGTCCAGGCTGCGCGCAAGGCAAATACCCTATCGCTGTGCTATCTCTCCACCCCTACACAACCCAAAAAAAAAAAAAACTTCCAAATAGACACATCCAAGATCAAATGAAATTAGGAGTGGGGATAGCTCAGTGGCAAGAGCACAGGCTAGCGAGTTCACCCCCCCACCCCCCCGTTCTGCCCTAGAGTCTGCCAGCTCTACCAGCCATGCTCTCAGCACACCCGGCAACTAAAGTGTGTGATCCCCGTTGTCATCACAACAACAGCCACCACCACCACAAAAAGACAGAGGAAGTAAGGGGTGGGGTGGGAGAATCAAACAAACTTTGTAATCCTTAATCTTTAAAAAATCGAACCTTAGTGCGGACATGGGTGTATATTGACATTGCAATGCCAAAAGGCCCCGGTAGTACCACTGCTCATTCTTCAAACAGGACAAATTGCTAATTAGCTAAAGAGAAGGCCCGGGTCAAGCACCTCGCAGGAGGTTAGTCACATTCAATCATTTGCAGGTTCAGCAAACACCGCGGTGTGGGTTCCAGGCAGTGATTTCCCGAAGTGCCGCAGGCGCGCTTCCAATTAGACTTCCTGCGCCTTTTGCTCTACGCTGAAGCCACACCAGTGCCTCAGTGGAGCTGGAAGCTCCATTCTCCGGCCCCACCTCCGCCACCTTCGGGTGAAAGCCCGTGTGCTTCTGTAGCGCCTGGGGCGCTGGCCGCTCCAAAGGCGATTTCCCTTTCTAGTCCTTGGGGAACGGCGGCCGCCAGGTCGTGACTATGCATCAGTGGTTGCTGTGACGGGGGTAGGGTGAGGAGGGGGGGAGAGACGGCTCAGTCAGTTGGCCACTGGTGGTGGGGCTGCCTCTTAGGGGCCGGCGGGGCGGGTGCCTGCGCCTCTAAGTGCCTGGGGCTGCACTCTGGCCGCCCCACTGGTTGCTGAACTTGCTTCTCTATCTGCTCTCTCCAGCCAGCTCTCCAGTCCAACGCTTCTTAAACTTGAACGTGCGTCTCCCCCAGGGCAATGTTCTAACGGCCAAGATGCACCCCCCACCCCAGGATTGCTGAAGGAGTAGGGCTAGGGTGGGGCCCAAGAGTCTGCCTTTTCTAACAAGTACCCTGAGGTCCCACTTCCACTAACTTAGTCGAGCTGTTCTTCAGTGTCTTGTTCAGCACGTCTGCTCCTCCCCCCCCCCCCCCCCCCCCCGCAAACTTCTTTACCCCACTGCAAGTCCTGAGGGAGGAGAGAAGAACCCTTGCAGCTAACAGGCTGAAGATTCCCCTGGGGTAGGGCCTGAAGAATTAGGAATTTATCCTGGGGGTCCCTAAAGATTTCACAGACAGGGAACCCCCCCACCCCAAGCCTGTGGGTCTTGTTATTGCCTGTCATCGTTACTGTGATATGCATGGAGTAGGTTCTGCCTATTCTTCACTTAACACATCCATTGGGTGCTAGGGTGCTAGGTTTAAGGTGACAAAGGTGGGGCAGGACAGGGTTCCAGGCCTCCGGGAGCTTATAGTAACTGGGAGATAAACTGCACAAACAATTCCAACACCACTGATAAGATCATGGTCCCTCCAGAGGGTGTGGCCAACTGCGTTCTGAGTAACTGGGAAAGGTTTCACGGAAGAACTGGCGTTTTTGCCAAGAAGTGTAAGTTGAGTGGAAGTTTGACAGGTAGAAGGGGCAACTGGAAGAAGGAGGGAAGAAAAAGGAAGGGATTCTAAAGGCTGCTGCTGGGCAGGGTTCTAGGGAGAAGCCACCACGCTGAGTTGACCCACCTCCTTCTCCAACAGGTCCAGCTGTGTTCCCTGTCTGCCATCTGCTGCCCCTCCTGGATGCTTGGGTGGGGGTGGGGGGGTCTGGGGATGGAAGGAGCCTCTGTCCAACTACGTTTCCTCTTACTCTCTGCATCTAAATATTCACAGATGGGGCTCACATTTGTATTCCTCTCCCCCTCAGCAAACACAGGGATGTCCCCAGGACGTTTTACTCCTACTCCTGGACATGGTGGTAAATGTCACCCAGCCTCCTGCTAGCCCCCTAAGCCAGAGGATTCTGTGAAGTGACCATCTCCCAGAGAGCAGCGGGGAAGGATGTAAGGCACAGTCCACTGCCAGGACTGTTCCTTCAGAGAGACCACATAGGGGAAGTACTGGGCTGCAATCCTAAGTCTTTTTAAGCTTGCTAGAGGAGGACCTTGAACAAGTGATGTAATGCTTCTGTATCTGTAAAGTGGGTTTCATGATGGTTGCCACTTCAGGAATGTGTTCTCTGGATGAAACATTTATAATCATGGCCATGCATGAAACCCTCAACAAAGTACTTCATTTGAATTCTCTCGGAGGTGGTGTGGTGGGTGCCCAGCCCAGCAAGGCTCTGTGTGCCTGTGGCAGAAGCAGATCGTGTCACCTCTTCACCTCATTGTCGCACTGTCTCTTTAGCTGTGATTGTACAGCAAACGAGCAACATGCAGGCAGTAAGATATTAGGTGAAAAGAGGACAGCAAATTGCATCATCGATGAGTACAGCTATGTTATTTAAAAAGGGAGCTAATTACAAATAGACAGAAGCTAGAAGGAAATAGAGCAAATGGTTAAGTATGGGTGTTTGCGTGATGTTGGTGTGCAAAATCTATTGTTCTGGACATATTTTTTTTTAAATGATGTAAACCACGAAACATGGATTCCATGGAACACAGTGACAAGCCCACGGCCTGTTTTCTGTTTGCAAATGACAGTTCCTGGTGGTTTTCTCTTCTTATTTCTAGATCCACTTCCCTGAACAAACTCTGCAGTCCACTCAGAGGCCCTGCCTTAGGAAATCGCCTTTGCAGCAGGCGCGCGATCACCACGTGCCACAGCTGAGTACCTGGCCACTGGGACCCGGCTGTCAAATGTGGCCTCCGAGGAAGTTCCAGCCGGCACCCGGCCTCTCTTACCGCCTAGGGCTTTCTAAAGCGGTGCTACTTGAGATCAGTTACTTTTTTTCTTCTTCTTCCTCTAAATAGCCGGCCTAATGCTCTTTTTCCAGTTCTGGCTGAGCCGGGAGCCTCAGCAGCCGGGCAGGGATTCCTGCCAGGCACCTAGCTCAGGAGAGCACCGCCCAAACTGGTCCGGCCAGTCTGCCCCTGTGGCCGCTCTGCCAGGACTTGCCCGCGTCTGTGTCTATGCGTGTGTTGAGAGACCCACCTTGGCTCCCCAGCAACCCAGGTAGATGGAAGGCAGCTCCGGGCACCATCACCCTGGCAGTCAAGCCAGAGGGGTGGAGCTGGGTTAATCTAACCTGGAATTTCAACTTGGCCTGCACAACAGGTGAGGGGGGTGGGGGCGAGGGTGGAAGCAGCCGCCGCCGCGAACACGGGCAGCTTGGCAACTTGGAGAATAGTCTTGTGCCGCGTGCCCCTTCCTTGTCCCCTGCCTGGAAAAGAGCCTGGGGGTGACTTTCCCCAGCGCCCGTGCGGGCTGAGAGGGCTCGGTGGCGCCCCGGCCCCTGCGGGGACTGCTCGAACCCTGCCCGCACGCTGTCCTCCTCGTTCCCCTGCGCGACGCTCCCGTTCCCCCTCCTCCGGGAGGCAGGGCGGGGGTATCGGATTAGTCTTTGTTTTCGACGCGAAAGAGCCGAGCGCGGCGCAGGGGAGGCTGGCGATGGCAGGGCCCTGGGGTGTGCCTGGGCCGGGCGCTCGGCCGTGACCCGGGTCTCCGCCAGCCCGTGGCCTCTGCCCCCTCCCCGCTGGGGCCCCCTTCTCTGCGGGCCAGGCTGACTCGGTACGCAAACGCGATGGTTTTTTTCCCCCCCATTGTCCTGCTGGGGGAAATGAGAGCGCGGCGGCCCGGACAGAGGGGGCTTAGGCGGGCCTGGGGCTCGGGGCGGCCGGGGGAAGCCCCCAGACCGCGCCGGGTCCACAGGGAGTGGCAGGAAGTGGGGACACCGAGGCCGGCTCAGCCCGGGGCCTAAGCTGGGAGGGACGAGTGCCCTCCCTCGCCGGCGCGGCCCGCTCGGTTCCCCGGGAAGGGGGGGGACGACCGGGCGCCGGAGGGCGGGAGAGAGGGGCGCCCGCCCGAGGGGGCCGGCGGGGTGCAGGGAGGCCGGCCCGCGCGGGGCGGGAGAGGAGGGGGGGCGGCGGGGAAGGTGCTGCAGGTGCAGAGGCTCGGAGCCCGGCCGGGCCCTTGCGCCGCTACCCGCTCGGCGGCGGCCTCCATCCCCTCCCGCTGGGGCACGTCCCCCCACCTCCCAGGCCCCCGGGGCCGGCCGGAGGGGGCGGCGGGGCTCGGCGGGGCCGCACGTGCGCGCCCTCCCGGGCGGGGGAGTCCCCGGGCGAGCACGTGCCGCGGCGCGCGGGGGGGCGGGGAGTCCCGCGGCCGCCTTCATTGCTGCTGCTGCTGCTGCTGCTGTTGCTGCTGCTGCTGCTGCTGCTGCTGCCGCCGGGGCCGCCGCTGCCTCCTCTTCCTTCCTCCTGCGCCGTCCCCTCCTCGCCCGGGCGGGGGGCTCCGCGCGCCCAGCTCGGCCGGGCTCGGCTCCACGGGAGGCGCGCGCGCCCCGGGCGGCGGCGGCGGCGGCGGTGGCGGTGGCGGTGGCGGCGGCGGCGGCGCGGGCCGGGGAAACTTTGCCCCTTTGTGCGCTCCGCCCCGGAGGCGGCCGGCAGGTCGGTGCAGTCGGTGCCTTTCCGGGTCCGGGGTGGGGGAGGGGCGGGAGACATGGGGGGGGGGGCGGCCCGGACCGCGGGGAGGGGGAGGGGACGGCCTCGGGTGGGGGGACCAGCGGCGCACGGAGGTGTCGGGGGGGCTGCTGCTGCGGCTGCTGCTGCTGCTGCTGCTGCTGCTGCTGCTGCTGCGGGCGGGGGAGGGGGGGCCCCGCTACTACTTTGTTGCGGGGGAGCGGGCCGGGGGTGCGACGGGTCACAGTGTAGCGGAGCCGGGGGTGGGGGTGGAGGGGGGCGGCGGGGCGGGGCGGGGGCTGCGGAGCCGCCGGAGCCGAGCGGCCGAGGCCCCAGAACAAAGGAGCCGGAGCGGCGGCGCGCGCGCGGCCCGGCCGGCGGCTAGAGCGCGCCCCCCCTCCCCGCGGCCCCCTTGGCGGAGCGGGCGCCGCGGGGTCCCCCCCCAGCCCGGGGCGCGCGCACCCCCAGTCCGCGCCGCCGCCGTGCCGGGGGCAGCGCGCCGCCTCGCCGCCTGGGCTAGCTTTCCGCAAACTTTATGTGCACAGCGCTGCTGCCCCCGGGGAGGGCCGGGCCACCTCCAGTGAAAGGGTGTGTGGGAATCCCGGGGAAACTCTCTCACGCCCGCGGGGGAGGGGCAGAGGGCAACTTTCTCGGGAATCTCACCTTGACCACCTCCTAAAATTGTGGACTCCCCAGGCTACCCCTGATGGAGAGCGGTGTGGGGGGGAGGTCGCGCCTAGGCCTCCTCCCTCCGACGTGCAGCCGGTGCGGGCGGGGCTGGGGGCTGCCCTGTCCTCCTGGGGTTTGGTAGAACTTCATTTGAGCGAGGCCCTTCTTCTCCACCCTAGCCCCACCCAAACCCCATTTTCTCTTCTGTTCTTTTTTTCTTCCCTCCTCTTCCCAGAAGCAGGAAGAGGTGACATGTGAAAGTTGTCCCCGAGCCCCCAAGTGATGCGTTTCCCTTTTCTGTGTGTCTTGCAGGCAGCGCTGCCTTCTCCACATCCTCACCCCCCCCAGGAGAGACACCCGGGGGCTGCCCTGCCCAGCCCTGCCTGGCCCCAACCCACCTGCTCACCTCATGCCTGGGTCCGGGGTAGGTGAGGGTGAAGAGCTCACCCAGCCAAGATGATCCCTTCGCTGGGCGCTGCTGGTGCTGTCCCGCCCCAGATCCCGGGCCCCCGCGGGTTCCAGAGTGGCCTCCTGCTCAGCCCCATCAGACTGCTGCAGAGGAGGTGAAGAGGGCATTGACCAGAGGCACCCGTTGGAGCAGGAAGCGACTCGCCGGTACCCTCTGTAGACTGTTGACTGTTTTAGGAGAGAAGGACCTCTTGGTGGCCTTGGCGGGGCAGGCAGGTGGGCGGCGGGACTGTGGCTCTGCCGGGGCACCTATGCACCCCACCACGGCTGCATCATGAGTCAGTTCCAGGTGCCTCTGGCCGTTCAGCCAGACCTGCCTGGCCTTTACGACTTCCCCCAGGGCCAGGTGATGGTAGGGGACTTCCAGGGACCAGGACTCCCAATGACTGGAAGTGAACCCCAGCTCCGAGGGGGTGCAGATGGGCGAAAGAAGCGGAAACGGTGTGGCACTTGTGAGCCCTGCCGGCGGCTAGAAAACTGCGGGGCTTGCACCAGCTGCACCAACCGCCGCACGCACCAGATCTGCAAGCTGCGCAAGTGTGAGGTGCTCAAGAAGAAAGTGGGGCTGCTCCAAGAGGTAAGCTGGCCCCTCGCAGGGCGCCTTTCCCCTTCCTAGAGGCCCTGCGTTCTCCGGGGACTTGCCCAGGATGCCGGGACTCTCCTGGGTCCCACGTGGAGGGGCCATGAGGAAGAAGGTGGCTGGGGGGAAGTTGGCTCGAGCTCCTTAGCCTAGCCGGCAGCCTTCGAAGTGAGCGCACGCGGTTCGGAGGGCTCAGAGCTGGCACTCTGGTCTCCTCTCTGTGAGTTTTTGGCACTGGACAATGACCCCCTGCTGAGTCTCTGGAAGCTTCTTGTCCTGTCTGACACCTCCAATGTTGTTTCAAGGTCACACTGATGCATGTGTCTGGAGATGGGGTGTCGGGAAGGAGAGGCTGATGGATTTGGGAAGATTGGGACTAAAGGGTGATTTTTTTTTTTTTTTTGCTGCCCTGGGTAGACTGTTTCTTTCCCTAAACCTTCTCCTGGATCCCATTATTTTTCCCGGAGGAAGACTGTCAGGGCAGCGAGTGGATGCTTCCACGGAGTTGAATGAGAAATCGGTGATTTTGGGTTTCCCTGCCCATCAGAGTAGTTCTGGGGTCAAAGGCTGGTGTTTCCCTCTTCGCAGGACCTGGCTCAGTTCCTAGGCGTGTAGTAAGCGTTTAGAGATGGAATGAATGAACGAATGAGGTTCTTTTGTGCCGAGCTGTCCACCCCAGGGAGGAGGACCCTTTTATTTGGAGGAAGGGATATAGATGGAGGGAAGGAGAAATTGAGGTAAAGGCGAGTGGGAATGGGAGAGGCAGAGACCCCGCTTCGGTCATCTCCTCTCATTCCCGTGGCGGGCTGCCGGCACGAGGTTGGTGGCCGCTGAGACAGCGGAGAGTTGGCAGAAGTGGGGACGCGCGGAGTTGAGCAGCGCGTGTATCGGCTGAAGTCGCTCCAGGCAGCGGAATTGGCGCTGGACAGAGCCGGAGGCCTGCGCGGTCCGTGGGGCTCCGGGCTCTGCCACTGATTTGTCTACGGGTTCTGACAACTCGGGCCTCCCTCCCTGGGCCTCTTCTTCCCCGGGGGAAGCAGAGGGCTTGTGCTGGATGGCCTTTGAAGCCCTCTGCAGCTGAGCTGGGAGCTGCTGTGCTGCAGCGGGTTCGGGCACCTGTGGCTTCGATGCGCTGGCGGCTCCCGTTCCCCGTTTCCATGACCGCTGAGCTCGGAACTGTGCCGAGAGCGAGCTCGGTGGGGCTGTGGCCGAGGAGGAAGCGCCAGTGTGGGGGCAGGAAAGTGGGCGTTGTCGGACTGTTTCTACTCCCTTGTCACCTTTTTTTTTGTCTACGCCCCTTGGAAGCTGCCCAACATGGTCCAAGGATGCCCAGACTACTGGACGCTCTGTCCCCCAGCCCCCCTCCCTGGTTAAAGCAAATACCTCGATCATATCTGCAGTTCGCCACCTCACACAGTGTCTGGCCTCTTTGGATTGCTGGCCTTGGCGGGGAGTTGGTGGCCTGTTGGCCCAGTGTTCCCAGCATCATTTCCGAGAGGGGAATGAGATTAGGGGAGGTCCCCTCTCTGCTGCCTGGTGTTTGGGTGTGAGGAAGAAGACCTGTCTGCTTTATGAAGCTCGGTTCCAGTACTGCCTTCTCTGTACCCCTTGTCTGCCCTGCTGTGTTGGCCCAGTTCCTCCCTAGTCAAACCCCTGGGGTAGGGAAGCTCAGCTTTCTGGAATGGATGGTCGTGTGCCTGTGGCCCCTGGGAACCCTGTGGAGGGTTTCTGTCGGTTTCTGTCGGCGGTGAAGAGCGTGTATGCGTGCGAGAGACTGGGAGTGAGGCCAGGGTCCTGACATCCTCCTGTGGACACTGCCAGTCTGGGCTGTCAGGTGGTCATGGTTAAGATCCGGGGAGTCTGGTTGGCCTGTCCTGGGAGCTGCCTGCATGCACACGGACCTTGCCCTTGCTGGCGGCCCTACTGGACCCCAGGGCTGGGAAAGTGGGGAAGATGACACTTGGGGCCTGGGGTATCCCAGGCAGGAAGGTGCCCATGCTTGTGTGTGGACCAGGGCTGGCTCACGGGAGTGTTGGCCCATGGCCTGGAGGAATGATGCAAAGGGACAAGGAAGTCAGTTTTTTTTTTTTTCTTAAAACTCATTGCCTTTAACTTACCAACTGGCATTTTGTTCCCAGGGCCGGTCCTTTCTACCTGCCATGTTTTTAGGAAAGAAAGGTGTTGACAGAAGAAGCTACACCTATTTTTTAAAGTCTTGATAAAAACACAAAATAACTAGTGTCTGTCTCCACAATTTTATTATTATTATTATTATTATTAATATTATTATTATTATTTTCACTGGTCTTTGCGGGCTAAAAGCATGGGAATCCCTGTCCAGGCAACACTCTTTAACAAGTACATCCCTCACAGGGCTGACACACCCCAGAGGCTCTGCCTGAGAGAAGGGGGCCCTAGATCAGCCCAGTCTTTATCAGCAAACAGCCCCCTTCCCCCACCCCCTGCCCCTTCCTAGGATCTCTTAACCGTTATTGCTGAACCACATCGCAGAGGGAACATCTCCTGGGGTGGGAAGAGACACAGACATTTCTGCTGTCTGTGTTTTTCTCTGGTTCAGGTTTAGGAGCAGAACGTTCAAATTGGGTCCCGACTCCTCAGCTGGGGCAAGATCAGTCTTTCCTGGGCACTTCTCTGGGCTTCTTCCTCCAGGCACCCCTTTCCTTCTCTCCATCTCCACCTTCCCCCGGCTTCCTGTGGGGCTCCCTCCAGCCCTCTGCAGCTGTAAGTCATCCCAGAGTGGGGGGACCCTTTTCTGGGTTGTCTGCCTTTCCTCACAGTTCCTGACTCTGTGTTTGGGGGAGGCGGGGGGAGGGTTGCCAAATTTGTGGGGCCTTGATGCTCAGAAAAAGAAATGCAGCATTGCAAAGCTAGAGCTCTCTTCCAGAGTCCAGGATGGGCGCCCTGCTGCCATGGGGATGGGGGTGGGGGTGGGGGTGGGTGTGTTTCCTGCTCTGGGTCCTATCAATAAGCGAGGTCACACACCCGACAGGAATCATCCTTTCCAGTGCCAGGAGCGCCGCTGTTGTTGGGCGCTAGCTGTCTTCCACCCTCTTTGTACCTGAGCGTGGCTTGGCGCCCAGTGAAGAGGAGAATCTGGGGGCTGTGGAGATGCAGCAGCCCTTGTCAGCGGTGCCCCGTCACTTTCGCCTGAGCAGCGGTGTTCTTTGTCGGGCGAGGCCAGCCTCCTTGGCAGGCTTGTTGTGAGGACTGGGATGAAGCAGGTTTCCTGCATGGCCCACACAGTAGGTCCTCTGAGCCTGGGAGGCAAAGCTCCCTCCCTCCATCCTCTGGAAAAGGCATCACTTCTTTGTGTTAGCGTCTGAGTGGCGATTTTATTTTATTTTTTACTTTTTGGGTCACACCCAGCAGATGCACAGGGGTTCCTCCTGGCTCTGCACTCAGGAATCACTCCTGGTGGTGCTTGGGGGACCATATGGGATGCTGGGAATCGAACCTGGGTCGGCCGCGTGCAAGGCAAAAACGCCCTACCCGCCTGAGTGGTGATTTTAAAGATGAAATGCCCATGAAGTGTTTGTCTCAAGACTTCCCCTCGCTGGCTCATAAAGAACAGTGGAGCCATGGAGGTCGGGGGAGTGTTTGCTAGCTTCTTCCCCCTCTGGGGTGGGGAGACTGGAGTCAGTTAGGAGCTGTGTTGGGGGGGGGGGGGGTCTGGACTGGTGGTGGTGGGGGCAGGTAAGAGAACTTTCATGGTGCCCACACTTCCATCTGTGTCAGTGCTTCTCAGCCTCTTTCTGACCCAGCGCCCCTTCCAACCTTATTTACTTCTGTCCTGCTCGCGTCGGCTTCCTGGTCTGGCGCTATGACCTGCCTGTTACCTGTATTCATCTGTGGCCACTTTGGGCTATCCTCGGAGCCCCCCGTTGAAAAATACTGCTCTAGTTGATGTGAAAATGCAGCCTTGCCCTCAGCTAAGTGAGTTGGGTGGCTGAAATCGCTCTCTGCTATTTCTCCCCCCTGTCTGGTTTTTTGGGCCACACCCGCAGTGCTCAGCACTTCTGGCTCTGGGTTCAGGAGACTAGGTGTGGGGCCTGGGTAGTGCCACACCTGAGCCAGCTACATGCAAGACAAGTCCCCTACCCACTTGTCTCTCCTCTGTGCCATTTTTAAGACCAGATATCTTGGGCTGGGGCATATTACTTGGCGAGCTCAGAATTCCCCCATGAATTCTGACCTCTGTGTCCACAGAGATGCTGGCTGTGTGGAGGTGTGTGGAGGTGTGTGTGTGGAGGTGGGGGCCAGGGGGGAATGCTGCAGGCTGCATCTGTCCTAAGCAACAAAAGGGAGGGAGGGTTGATGGCCCATTCTGTTCTCGGAGATGAGGGAGCCGCTCTCAGCACCGGTGCTGAGCAAGGAGAGGCCGCACACCATGGACTTTAGGAAACCCTTGCTCAGAGTCGAATGTTTTTTGATCCCATGGCCACAGACTGCAAAGGGGAAGTTAGCTAGAGGGGGCGCCTTGCTCTTTAAAGAGGAAGTGCTGAGTGGACGGGCTTAAGTGGTTCCCTGCGGAGGGTGGTGGCTCGACTGGCACAAAACGGGCCATCTGTAGGGTTGCCCTGGCTGCCCTGAGTGCAGATGGTGACCAGCACACGCCTTATGTGGCAAGGACTTGGGAGCCTCTGAGGCAGAGTCCTGGGTGGCGTGTCTCCTTCAGCCAAGTGTCAGAAGGTCTAGTGGCCAGAATATGCTGAGGCTGGTGGAAAATATACAGGACAATAAAAGGCTTTTGTCTGTTCCCAGCAAGGAGGAGAAGGAAGAGGAGGAAGAGGGGGTGGTAGACTCCTAAGTGCAGGGAGCATAATCACGACAGAACAGCCACTGGTCCCGGTTGTGATGGGAAGTGTCCACTTGGGAAGGACGGCAGTGTGTGCTGGTGGGAGGAGGGCGGGAGGCCTGTTCTGCCCTGGTCTGAGTCATTTGCTGTCCCCTGCCCCCAACACCTTCAGATATGCCAA